GCGTAACGAGCTGTCGCTCGAGACTTCCTCGCGATTCATGCAGGACGCACGCTCCAGCAACCCGCCTGCTCGACCTGGCCGAATGGGCCCTCCTTCGACCCGCCTGGTGGGATCTATCCGCCCGATCTGCCAGTCTGGTTCTGCCACGTGTTTTCTGCTCTTAGCCTCCCTCCTGCTAGACTCTCTCGTGCTTCATCCTCCTCCCTCCCCCTTGTCCCTTCCTTCTGCCTCAGGGGCTGCACGACATACACGTTCCAGGTAATTATGAAAGATATACCCCTACTGGGGTACGGTCGAAGTCGAAGGGGGCGGGTATCGAGGGTTCGGGATATACGTGTTGAATGGCACGCGAGCAGGTAAGAGAGAGCAGTCTTAATATCAATGTCGTTCTTTGTGATGTTGTGGCTGTGGTTGTTGTTGTTAGTGTTGTTGGCGGCGATGTGTTTGTTGATGTTGTTATTGTTGTTGATGTTGGTTGTGTTGGTGTTGTTGTTGCTGCTGCTACTGCTGTTGTTGTTGTTGCTGTTGTTGTGACTGTGGTTGGTGTTATTGTTGTTGTGGTTGTTGTTGTTGCTGATGCTGTTGAATTTTCATTGCTACAGAAGAAATATTGTTGTTCGCCCCTCTGCGGGGCACATTACGTTTGTCAATTCAAGTGGCCTGCCCAGATATCGCACCCTACTGTTTATCAGGGGAAGTCTTGAGTCTCATAATTATGTTGTTGGCCCCGGGTTTATAACAGCAACAGTTCCCGCTTGAGATTTCCTCAATGCATTGCCAAATCGCTCTCTCCCGCGGGACTTCCTCACAATAATGTATGCAGTAGTCGCGCTCTCGCGTGGGACGTCCTCGCAATTTATTCAGACGACGCGCCCTCGACACTCAGGAATCATTCTCTCGCTGTGGATGTCCTCGCGATTTATTTGGGAATTTCGCTATCGCTCGAGACGCCCTCGCGATTCATGCAGGACGCACGCTTCAGCAACCCGCCTGCTCGACCTGGCCGCCTGTGCCCGCCTTCCGATCTGTCCGTCTGATTCGGCCACGTATTTTCTGCTCCTAGCCCCCCTCTTGCTAGTTTTCCTCGTGCTCCATCCTCCTCCCTTCCCCTTGTCCCTTCCATCCGTCCTCTCTTTCCTTGTCTCAGGGGCTGCACGAACTACACGGTACTATCGAAGACGAAGAGGGCGGGTATCAAGAGTTTGGGATAGATGTGTTGAATGGCACGTGAGCAGATAAGAACGATCAGTCTCAAAATGATTGTTGTTGTTGGTGGTGTTGTGGTTGTGGTTAAATTTTCATTTCTGAAGAATATTTAATGTTGATCCACCCTCACCGGTGCATATTGTTTTTCTCAATCAAAGTGTGCCCCATCGACGCTCGCACTTTGTTTTTTGACAGGGAAGGTCTTGGTGCTCAAACTTTGCTCCTGGCCCCCCAGATTACAACAACAACGGCTCCCGCATGAGACTTCCTCCAAATTTACTCAGGATATCCGCTCCTGAGACTTCCTCACAATTTACTCAGGATCGGTGCTCCCGCTTGTGACTTCCTCGCAATTTAGTCAGGACCACCGCTCCCACCTGAGAATTCCTCACAATTTACTCAGGAACGGCGCTCCCGCTTGAGACATCCTCGCAATTGAATCGAGACCTCCTTGCAATTTAATCAGGATCCCCGTTCCCGCCAGAGAGCCCTTCACATGTTATTCAGGAAGTGCGCTCTCGCCTGTGACTTCCATGCGATGTATGCAGAAATCGCGCTTTCGACGCGCAGGAAACACGCTGCGCCAAGGACGCCATTACAATTTACTTAGTAGTCGCGCTCTCGCCATACTCAGGCATCCCGCTTGAACGTCCCGCCCGCCCGACCCGCCCGTCAGGGGATCGCCCGCCCGTCGTGGGCTCCCGCCCGAGACTTCCTTCAGGAACGGCGCTTTTGCCTAGGACTTCCTCGAACGTTCACGCTCTTACCTTCCTGCTCCTCCTCCCTTCCCCTCCTTCCTCCCTCCTCACCTCCCTTCTCTATCCCTCCTCCTTATGCCTCTCTGCCCTATCCGTTTCCCTCCTCTCCCTCCTCCCTTCTCCCTCCCCTCTCCTGCCTCCTCCCTCCCTCTTTCTGTCTCTCTCTCGCCCCTCTCTCTCTCTCTCTATTTCTCGACCTCCCTTATCAGCCGTTCTCATTTTTTTTTTTTTTTTTTCTCTCTCTCTCTCTCTCTCTCTCTCTGCCTCGAATCAACTGCCCCCCTCTTCGCTCTTTCTCCCCTGGCGTTTTCCCTCTTCCTTCGTCCCTCCCCCTCCCTTCCTCCCACTCTCCCTCGTTCTCCCCCTCCTCTTTTTTTGAGGGACCACACCAATTCCAAGGGCAGGCACATGTACACCCACGAAGGATCGTCCGCCCGTTCAGGTTTGCCCGCCTGTCTAAGCCCGCCGCCCCAATGAGAAGGAATCCCCCCCAAAGGGGTCGTGATCGAAGACAAAAAGGGCGGGTATCGAGGGTGTGGGGAACTTGTTTAGAATGACGCGCGGGCAAGTAAGAGTGAACAGTCTTATAAGGATTGTTAGTGTAGGTGTTGTTGTTGGTGTTGCTGCTGTTGTTGATGCTGTTGTTGTTGCTGTTGTTGTTTAAGTTGTTGTCGTTGTGGAAGTTGTTGGAATGGTTGCGTTGTTTGTTGTTTGTTGTCGGCGTCCAGTCCGCGATATACCCGCGATCCACCCCGCGCCCGCGCCCTTCATCGAGTCCTTGTATATGCCAGAGTACCGGAGGCCAGGACCCCCTCCCGGACGTCCCCTCTCCCAATCGGGCTTGCCCCCAGCTGCTCGAAACAGCTCCAGGGAACCACCACAAAGCGATGCCGAAGGCGCCCAAAGATTGCGCCAAGGCGGCCCAAGACGCCCTCAATACGCTCCAATGGTGCTTTAATCTGCTCCCCGAGCGAGCCACAGGAGGCCAACATTGCTTCATTCCTTTCTGGGGAATCGTTAATGTGAGCAGTGGGAAACCGACCCCAACCCCCACAACTATGGATTTTAATGTCAACGTTTTTCGGGCGAATGTGCGTAACTGCAGGCGCCCTGTAGGCGAGGCCGTCGCCAGCTGCCGCAGGGGGGCCCCGCGCGCGCGGGGCGACGTCTTGTGCCCATTCGACGCGGCCGCGCCCGCGCCCGCATTCCCAGGGCCGCAAGCGCCACGGCCACGGCCGCGGCGTGCAGTTTGAGGCGATGGCGGCGCTGTCCTTCGCACGGCAGCGCTGCTGGCCCAGCCGAGGGCCCCCGCCCCCGCTTCCGTCGCCCCCATCGCAACCCCGCCGACGAGAAAATTTAAATCGGGGACGTTTCTCTTGAGGCAACTGGTCTTACAAAAAAAATCATCTTCGTGTCTACATAAGCGCAGCTCTCTGTTTATATAACCTTTTTTTCGGGTTCTCCCGCGTGAGATTTTCCGCTTCGGAGAAAACTACGCCGATTTAGTAACGAGTTTATATCAAGTTGTTTTGCTTGGTGCCTGAACTTTCTTTTCGGGGTGGATCTAAACGTTTCGATTCGCGCCCGCGCGGGGCGGGCCCCATGCGCCGTCTGGGGCGCTTGCCAGCGCCGCCGCGGGCCGACGCGCCCCATGGTTTTTGTATTTGCACGAACGCGGGAATATCAGCGGTGGCGTTAGGCGTTGACCGCGTGTCAGCACGAAGCAGCGCCGAACTCAAACGCCGATGAGCATAACAGCAGCGCGCCGTTCGCATGGAATTGCGCGGCGTCGTCGTTGGCTGACCGTCGAGCAGTTTCCGCTTGCAGTGCACGCCGCGCTTGACGGTCCATCTGATCTAGAGCTCTTCATGTGGAGGGCGGGGGTCGCTTTTCATGCGCTCCATGGGAACCCCAAGATCGCCCCCGAGACGGCCCAACAGGGCACCAGGAAGGCCCGAGAAAATTCCGCGACAGTCCAAGAGGTGCCCAAGACGGTCTAAGAGGGCTTTAGAGAGGTCCAAGAGGGGGAGCTCGAGTTGACTGACATGTCGAGCCCTCCGCCGCAAACGGCCCCCCCAGGCCGCCAGTAGAGCAGGCCGCCAAGAGGCCCCCGAGCGAACCAAAAGATGCCCCGAGAGGCACCCAAACGGCCCCAAGAGGCTTCGAGGAACTTCGAAGCTCCACGAGGCGCCAGAGAAGCATGCCACGAGACCCTTCATTACAAGTATGCACATGCAAGAAGCTTTTGGCCCAGAATTCCGACACGGTGGCGGCTTGGGCCGAAAATCATACATACGCAATCCATTGCCCCGGCGGCAGACCCATCCATATGCAGTCACGCGTCGCGCAGGAAGTGGCCCTCTCTTTGTACACTGCGCGCCACCGGACTGAGCTGATAGCGTGCTGCTGCTGCTGCGGATCAAGCGTGCACAAACGCGCTGAATTCCGTGTGGCGTACGATCCGCGCGAAGTTGGTGCCGAGTAGTCCGGGGGTCCTCGCGCGAACCCGCCCACTGAGGCCGCAGGTGGAGCTCTTTGTGGTGCACGACCCCATTGAGGCATGTGCCAAAGTGGGCGGGGGGATGCCCTGCGAAGTTGCTAAATGTAGCCGTAGGTGGAGCTCGTTCTAGGACGCGGTTCGCGTTAGTGGCGTGGCGGCATGTGCGGAGGGACGATTTGCAATGTTTGTCTTTGGGGCTGTGGGTGGTGCTTCCTGTGGGGCACGTTCCGCGTGAGGGATGTGCCGCAAAGGGCGGGGGGAGCGCTATGCGAACCTTGTCCCCGGGGCCGTCGGTGCAGCTCTTTGTATGGCACGATCAGTGGAGTGAGAGGTTTCGGATTTGGGATGCTGGCAGAAATCAGATGAAGAAGTCCATGAAGCAGCACGACCTGGTTACATAGTGAATACCTCCAGAAATGAGTGGCATCCTCGGCAGACGAAATACCAAGCTTAACTGAAATGGACTCCGCTCGATTCGGGCCTAAGTGTTCGGCCAACCTCCAGCCAATCGTGAAGATCGCATCACCCACAGACAGCCTCGCAAACGGCACCGCAGCCAAGAATACCAGCCAATCTGTTCATTCCTTCTATACGAAATTGCTGCACCCAAATTGAAAATAGAAAAGGTGGACCACGAATTCGCCGACGAAACCCAGGAAGTTGAACCAGCACAAACGCCCTGGTAACCTGCGGAGCCTATGAAGTTGAAGGCGAGCGTGGCCGCACCGCCGTAGGGGCGGCCTTCAGCGGCGAGAAATGCAAGAGCCGCACCGCCGTAAGAGCGGCCTCCAGCGGCAGACACGAGGAAGACGCCAGGCAGGGTGCTCTTGTCCATGCCCGCACCGCCGTAAGGGCGGCCTCCAGCGGTGAAATCGCAAAAGCCGCACCGCCGTAGGGGTGGCCTCCAGCGGCAGACACGAAGAAGACGCCAGGCATGGTGCACTTGTCCATGTCCGCACCGCCGTAAGAGCGGCCTCCAGCGGTGAGAGAAGCAAACGCCGCACCGCCGTAAGGGCAGCCTCCAGCGGCAGACACGAGGAAAGCGCCCGGCATGGTGCCCGTGTCCATGTCCGCACCGCCGTAAGGGCGGCCTCCAGCGGCGAGAAATGAACAGCCGCACCGCCGTATGGGCGGCCTCCAGCGGCAGACACGAGGAAACCGCCCTCCAAGGTGCTGTTGCCCATGTCCGCACCGCCGTAAGGGCGGCCCCCAGCGGTGAGATCTGCAAGAGCCGCACCGCCGTAATGGCGGCCTCCAGCGGCAGACACGAACTGGAAGTACATGTCCGCACCGCCGTAGGGGCGGCCTCCAGCGGCAGACACGAGGAACGCGCCCGGCATGGTGCTCGTGTTCATGCCCGCACCGCCGTAAGGGCGGCCTCCAGCGGCGAGAAATGCAAAAGCCGCACCGCCGTAGGGGCGGCCTCCAGCGGCATACACAAGGACCGAGCCCTCCAATGTGCTTGCTTCACAATGCCTCTCCTTTGCCAGCGGGAACGCTACGCAAACGACATGTGCGCGCGGCCCGCTGCCCCCCAAGCGCGAACGTGGACGCGAGAGGCCTCGGCTCGCTGCAGCAAAATGCGCGCTCGAGCCGAGATGTGCTTGAGCAGTGGAGTGAGAGGTGTGCCGAAGAAGGCGGGGGGGGCGGATGCGAACCTTGTCTCTTGGGCCGTAGGTGGAGTTCCCTGTAAGGCACGATCCGTGTGAGAGGTGTGCCGACGTGAGTGGGGCGACGAAATTTCCCGCTGAGTACCTGCTGGGCAGCACGATCCGCGTGAGGGGCGTGCCGATCTGCGATGGAGCAGTAGGTGGAGCTCCTTGTGGGGCGCGATCCTTGCGAGGTGTCTGCCGACGTGAGTGGGCTGCACGATTCGCGTGAGGGGTGTGCCGATATGCGATGGAGCTGTAGTGGAGCTCACTGTGGAGCACGATTCGCGTGAGGGGTGTGCCGAGATGGGACGCGGGCAGTACGTGGAGTTTCCTGAGGGCATGACCCGTGTGAAGGATGTCCTGAACTAGGCGGGGAGACGCTATTCAGACATGTGTGCACAAGATAGCGCAAGTGTTCCCACGTGGTGATCGTGGTGAGATGGCGTGCGTACCCATCCGCTGATTGATATGACGCTGGCTTCGCCTTGGCTAGAACACAAGCGCGCCATGTTCTGGTATATAGTTACGTATGTATACACATACAGGTGTGTGTGTGTGTATAGATATGAACCCCCAGCACCCAGTCTTACCAGCATGATGCTGGTGATCGTCCTGTCCTCCTTCTCATCCTCGTCTGTGCCTTTTATTATCTCTCTATATCTCTTCCTCTCTTTGTGTGTTCTCTCTCTCTCTCTCTCTCGCTCTCCCTTTCTCTCTATATTGTTGTTTTCCTCTGCACATGGTTTACATATTCGTATATATACATGTCTATCTCCTTGTGTAGTTTCTCTCTATATCTCTGTTTGATTATCCCACTCTCTCTCTCTCGTTCCCTCTGTGTAGTTTGTTTCTCTGTCCCTCTCGCTCCCTTTCTCTTTCCCTTGTCCCTATTGGTTACTTTCTCTCTCCCTCTCTTTCTCTATTGTTCCTCTTTCCCTCTCCTTCTCCCTCTCTCTGTATCTCTTTTTTTTCTCTCTCCCTCTCCTCTCTCTCTCTCTCTCTCTCTCTCTCTCCCCCCTCCCCCGCCCAGACCCCCATCACAATCCCTGTGGCAACACACGGTTTGCGATGTCAGGGGTACGGCAATATTGTGTGTTCATTTAGAGGTGGATTCATGCTGCGTTGTTCTGTTTCCAGCGAAGATCGAACCCAGGAGCCTTCCCAGATCCCCTGAACCTACATCACCAAAACAATTGGTTTCTGCATGTCTCGTTTCATACATATAAGCCATCTTTTGAACACACATACACGTACGTTGTGCGATGCCACGAGTGCGACAAGCTTTGATTTCATTTGAATGCTTGGGATTTCTGAGATGACAAGTGAGGAAGCCATGTGTTTTCATTTGGACGTGTGGGGGTTGTGTTACCTTCTTACCTCCAGCGAAAATCAAACCCATGAGCTTCGATCTCCAGTATCCAGCAGATCACACAATTCCCAAAGACGACACATCGCTTCCTCATGTCTCATCCCAGAGATGCAATTAATACAAATGAAAACGCAAAGTTTGCGCATCCCTGACATCGCAAACATTGTATTGTCACATCGATGGTTTTGGATTTCTGGGGTGAGAAAGGAGGAAGCCATGCTCTCATTTTGTTGGAATTTCGGGATTCTGGGGACCAGAGCTCCCGGGATGGCTCCCGGGTTCGATCTTCCAAAACATACCAAACATCTAATTGGAAGACACAGTTTCCTCTCGCCTCATCACTGGAATCCAAAACATCCAAAATAATCCATAGGGTTTCCGCACCCCTGACATAGTAAACCTTGTGTTTTCACAGGGATAGTGTTGGGTGTCTCTGAGTGGGAGAGAGAGAGAGAGGCAGATACCAGATCCTCCTGATTACAATTCGATCCTTATTGGAGTACAATTGAAATCTCATAGGGGTGGAATCGAATTGACATTTAAGTCGAATTAGGCAGATCTCAGATCCAGCTGATTCCACTTGGTTTCCTAGTGGGATCGAATTATAATCTAATTGGAATTGAAGAGATCCCAGATCCAATTGATGCCAATTCGATTCCTGTTGGGGTTTGATCCCATTCTAATTAAGGTGGAGCGGATCCCAGATCCAGTTGATTTTTATGTTAATGCAACTTAACATCTAATTCGAGTATAAGTGGAACTGCGCAGATCCCAGAACCAGCTGTTTCCATTCTGATTCTAGCACGCGAAGACAGCGGAGGAATGATGAATAGTAAAGATGGATGAACAGCCACGGATGACAAGAAGGCCGATGATCAGTAAGAGAACAAATGAAGAGCTCAAACACTGATGCAACATGAACGGGTGCTTGGGGTGCTGCGCGCGTAGGTACACATCATCTACAATTGTATATCCGCAGAGAAAGAGAAGGCGAGGGCGAGTGAAGGTGTGCCACTGCTGGCCTGGTCGACGGCCTCAACCAGACGTGGGAGGCGGTGCTCGAGGCGAAGGAGTTCGCCGTCAGCAGGCCGTTTTGGATAGCAGAGGGGGGCCAATTGTTCGAGGCTCGAGACTGGAGGGGCTCGAGGTTAGAGGATCGTGTTCCGCATCCGCCGAGGTGTTTGAGCCTGCCCTGCCCTGTTTGGACTTCCTCAGGCCTCCTGACATCTCCGCGGGGATTTCCCAGAGGCCTCCAGGGACTTCGTAGAGCTCCGGAGATCTCCGCCCTGCGCGGCGTCCGTCTTTCTTGAGATCAGTTGGGCCGCCTGCAGGTGTCGAGCAAGGACTCTGCAGTTCTTTCCTATCCCCTGCCGCCTCGTCGTTCGCTCCCCCCTCTGTGCTTGTGTCCTCGTCATCGTCGTCGTCGTCCTCCGAGTCTTCTGGGCCAACGGGAGGTTACCTCTGAGCCGACGCCCGGCTGTGTCAGAGGACGCGGCCCTGTTCAGCACCCTTTTCTGCTGCAGCACCTCGTCCAGAGCTCTCTGGGGCGCTTGGGGTCTCGCTCGAGGATGTCTCTGGTCCACCTGACGTGGAGGAAAAGGGCTGCCGAGTGTCCGCCGGTTTGGGTTACAACGTGTGGGTCTTTCGAGGCTCAAGCACGGCCAGCGTCAATCAGCGCCATTGTATGTTGCAGCGCACGCGCGAGGCGACAAGCGTCCCCAACGCTCACGATATTGTGTGTCCGCGAGCCGAGATCCAGGAGGAGTTGCATGCAAACTAGATGGATCCATGTGTTTGCCTTAAGCTACCCCTCAGCTGCCAGCATAGCACAGCCAACCATTGGATCAAGGCTCCCTTTGGTTCTGGAGGCGGCTCGGGGTGCTTGGATCCGGGTTTTGTTATTTTCCTAACTTTCCGTTGGGTTCTTGTTTTGGATAGAGCATCGCCGGCGAGTCTCAGCGATCCTTGGGGGGCTGCGAACCTCGAGACTGTCGCCACTTTCGAGGGCTGCTGGGGGGTCGAGCTGGGGGGCTGCGACATGCGAACAGGTCGCCGCTTTCTAGGGCTGCTGGGGCGCCCAGCGTCAACTCAGAACGATGCCTTTTGCCTTCGCTGCCTGCCACTGCATACCATGTTCCACGCTGCTTCCACGCTCCCGCCTCGTTTCTGCCTACATTTGACTTGATCGCGTGTCACAGCTATTCGGGCGTCTTGCCATGCCATCATCCGCAATGATGTGGCCTACTGTTCTTGCCTCGTCGTGAATATGGGCTGGATACGCCGCAGGGGTGTACAAGTAGAGACCATTTCTTGATTGCCAACCCTTCTTGGTTGGGTATTCGTTTTGAATAGAGGGGTGTGGTCGCGTCTCCTTCTTCTCCTCCCGCCTCCCCGCGCGGACCTGAGCGGGACCTCGCCGTCCCTGGGGGGCTGCGATCTGCGAAATTGTCGCCACTTTCGGGGGCTGCTGGTGGGTCCTGCGGAGTGAGGCACCGCGCGGACCTGAGCGGGACCTCGCCGTCCCTGGGGGGCTGCGATCTGCGAAACTGTCGCCACTTTCGAGGGTTGATGGTGGGTCCTGCGGAGCGAGGCACCGCGCGGACCTGAGCGGGACCTCGCCGTCCCTGGGGGGCTGCGATCTGCGAAACTGTCGCCACTTTCGAGGGCTGCTGGTGGGTCCTGCGGAGTGAGGCACCGCGCGGAGAGCTCGCCGTCCCTGGGGGGTTGCGATCTGGGAAACTGTCGCCGCTTTCGAGGGCTGCTGGTGGGTCCTACGGAGTGAGGCACCGCGCGGACCTGAGCGGGACCTCGCCGTCCCTGGGGGGGTGCGATCTGCGAAACTGTCGCCGATTTCGAGGGCTGCTGGTGGGTCCTGCGGAGCGAGGCACCGCGCGGACCTGAGCGGGACCTCGCCGTCCCTGGGGGGCTACGATCTGCGAAACTGTCGCCACTTTCGAGGGCTGCTTGCGCGGCGCCGTCCCTGGGGGGCTGCGATCTGCGAAACTGTCGCCACTTTCGAGGGCTGCTGGTGGGTCCTGCGGAGTGAGGCACCGCGCGGAAATGAGCGGCCGTCCTTGGGGGGCTGCGATCTGCGAAACTGTCGCCACTTTCGAGGGCTGCTGGTGGGTCCTGCGGAGTGAGGCACCGCGCGGACCTGAGTGGGACCTCGCCGTCCCTGGGGGGTTGCGATCTGGGAAACTGTCGCCACTTTCGAGGGCTGCTGGTGGGTCTTGCGGAGTGATGCACTTCGCGGACTTGAGCGGAACCTCGCCGTCCCTGGGGGGCTGCGGTCTGCGAAACTGTCGACATTTTCGAGGGCTGCTGGTGGGTCCTG